GTCCAACCAGAGCCGAGCCGGCCTTGCCACCGAAATTATGGTCTGTGCGCATGTACCGAACAAATGTATCCTTTACTCACAGCGTCCATGCTATATAGGACAACGAAATTTACTCAAAGAACAAGGCCAATCTCATGTAACACTGGCAGCAACAATTAGATACGGGAAAGCAAGTCATGATCATGTATGAAGGGATAACCTGTCGATCAAGGTTTTCGAGATAAGTGTTTCAACGATGCACTTCGTGCTCAACAACCAGTTGCCCATGTCCTCAGTTTTCCTGCGTAACACGTGTACCCGATAACGGTACCGCCTTGCGCTTAAAGGCCAAAAGTAAAGTTGCTGATTCTAATTTGAATGTTCACGAGCGCCTTCGTACTGGCATGACATGTCAGATCCCTTACAACAGACTCTGAGCTGGCTCCTTGACCAATTGTTGACATCTCGTATAGTCCGTGAGCGCTGCCTACATAACCATCATTCAGCTAAAGATAGGTACAGGCATGCGCAGGGTTCCGAGGCTGCTGACTTGTCGTTGTCGGCCCCTGACACGATCGAGATGTGCTCAACCTTGAATCTCACAATCGGCTAAATTGGGAAGAAACTAGATCGTTGCTTGCTTTAAGGTTACCTCGCCTGGAATGTGGAGACATGGAACACGATGCTTTCGCCTGGCTTGCATTCAATCTACCCCGCGCTGGCTTTCCAAAGAGTCGATATCAAGGATCTGCCCGGAAAGCTCCCGGAGTTGTGAGTGATGGCGCACGTCTAGCAGGCTGTGCTCGTTGGGTATGTGCTCTCTGAAGAAAGCATGACAATCTGGAGTGTGTAGAATGCGGTTCCCGATCGATCTCCCCCGTCGGCTGTGTCCAAGCCTATCATTTGATTGACACTGTACTGTATTTAGTTCGAAGATGCGCCAACGATGATGTGTTTTCGGAAGACATGACAGTTGCGAGGACTCACACATTCTGTCAAATGACGTGGGCGGGATTGTCGTGACGGATGCGACATGGGTCCCAGTCTCTCACTAGGTCGGAGGTTTTGCGTTACATGTGGTGAACAACTGGGGTCATGAGGTCCCTGTGGAAATATTGAGATTGAGTCTTCTTGTGAAGACCTTACCTCCGCTCTTTCAGGAAGTTCGGATTGAGGCATTTTGTAAGTTCGTTTCTGATGCCTTTGAGAGCGAAGTCAGTGTCAAACATCCATCGGATCGGTGAAGGATTGTACGCGTCCTCCAACGGCGGAAGCGGCAAGAACGAGCAGCCACCGCGCAGAAAAGCACATAGGCTGATATCTTAACTGGGATCTTGAGTACTCAGATGGTGGAAATTAGAGAAGGAAACCAGTCACTGGCGCAAGCTTCCGCAGACATCCAGGGTGCCAAAAAGAAGAGTAGTGCGAGAGGCGTATTCCCATAATGCTGCAAAAGTGATGGATAAGTGCATTGCATGTCGCGGCTTGACATGTCGACCACAGCCTCCCTCCTTCACATTCGAGGTTAGGGCCAATGACCTCGTCCTCAGGGCATCGAGCTGCAGACGGGGAGGGAAGGCCGTATGCAAGGGTGAGATTGAGATATTGCGTCGACTTGGGACGTCAGCTTCTTATGTCATGAGTCACATATTGACCACAGCCCCGCTCTTACATATTTATGATTGAGGCCGCCTAAAACATACACAAATTGATGGTTAGAATGACGAAGTATGCAGACCGCAAGAAAGTGGGAAATATGGCACCTGAGCTTGCCTTTGGGCTTCCATATTGAGAGGACATGATTACGCCTCCTCGCGAGGAACAGTTGTCTGCTTCGTGTACCTTGTAAAATTGAGACTGCTAAAAAGATACACCAGAGCATCTATAAGATGTGACTCACCGAGACAATATTTGGATATGGTATGGAGATTCCGAGAAGAGGAGGTCGTACTCTGGGCGCTCGGAATGACTGTTTCGGTTCAGCCACTGGCGAGAGATGAAGACCTGTCACCGAGTCGGCGCAATTCAGTAGCGTTCCGACTCCGTTTAGTAAGACCTTTTCCAAACGCAGTCGTTATGGTGGCCGAGGTCACCGCTAATACCGACAAGATTCAGCGCCCACGATGAGCGAAAGGGAGCATTGTGTGGTGCTCTAGGTCTCTGTGGCTAAATCCAAAAGTCGCTGGAGTTTTGTTTCGAAATCGGCAAGGAATCACACATTTCCTGAAAGTGGAGTCAATGATTTCGCCCTGAAATATTTTCTGCTAGAGGATCGAGCAAGATCGAGCATCATTGGCTAGGGTACGGGTCACATACCCCTGACGGCGGTTTGTCTTCTGGTTTACCTACCACCTCGCGTTCCATCGTAAACCTGGTTCACCGTGTGGCGAAAGGCTGTGTCTGCGCCTCGTTCGTTGAAAGGTGCATGTCCGGCTACCATTTATTTGATGCACAAAGATCTACAAGCAAGGCTGTGTGTGTCGAATTGTTTCGGTGTGATAGTGCAAACTACGGGATAACCTGAGGGTGACCACCAACTCACCAAGAATACCAGCAGGAGGCTCCGCGTCCAATACAGCCATTGAGCGACGCGAAAACGCTTCTAGTCCTGGCGTCAAACTTTCAAACGATAGGATCCATTGAATTTCTTCTGTGAACAGTGTGGGAGATTGCGATGGTCCGTCGACACGTCCCACTACCGACCCTTCATAAGCTCATAGTCAGATTGGCCGGATCTGAGGGGAAATTACCTTGTCAAGCCATGAGATCAGAGAAAAATCCTAGAAGGACGGAGGTGTGGCTGTCCGACAGGCACCAACCGATGTTTGGTTGTCTAAAGGAACCCATGTCACCTGAGGCATCTATCTTTATTCTCTGGTATGTATTTCCTTTTCATGTCGATCCTATATTGAAACCAAGCCAGGAGGCTCAATTCCACTCACAATAGGTATCTGATCAGTACAGGCACACTGTCGACAGGCCCCAGGGTGAACGCCCTAAGTGGGAAACAACCGCCACCTGGTTGGTGGTCCGACTTACATAATGGACGCCCCTGATATCTACCCTTTTACAAACTTTGACCCGTTTTTTCACCTCAGCTCTCGGTTCGTTCTGCGTGGATTCTCTCTCCACGGAAACGGAGACATGTCTTTGATCGACAGTCCTACAGGGAAATATTACGATAACCCCGATCGCAAACACACCTCTCCGTGGCCTTGAGTTCCTGAAATTGTACATTGTTTTGAATAGACTCCCTTCTTGCACGGAGGCTGTTCGTTCCCTTGGGTCGCGTCCATAAATCGGGCGCTCGATCATGACATTCAAATACACCATCCCTGGCGACCTGCTCTCCCGTTTTCCTGATAAGCCCCTGGGTTCAGCAAGTCACATCCTCCCACCTCCCACCTTCATCCCTGTCGACTCCTCCACTTAGAAAGCTGCTCAGTTATACCGTTATTCCTCGTTGGATGCAGAGCATAGGAACCTCGTTCATGTTCTTAGGTCTGTATACCAAACATCCTTTGCCAGCGCCTGTGTTTGCTCATGTCCGTCACCCAGACTTCGAAAATATTATGTCCTACCAGAGCTTCCAGCCAGACGCAGACCAGGGCTCCGTGTATAAATCAGACGGGTCCTACTCAGACCCCCATTACGGAGACCACGAACAAACGTTTTTCGGTGACGGAGCCATCAGTAAGCTCAGGCATGTCCTTATGACGTTCGTCTAGTCTCACAATATCTTTCCAGAACTACAAAGCCCCCACCAGGAGTGGAACATTGTGGAATCCAATTCATATGAACCACGTAAGATGCTTTGGTACGGAATCAAAATGGCGCTTACCCTTCAATAATAGTCTTCCCCTGTGATGCAACCCTTCGGCATCCGCCGTTCCCCTCTTGCGACGGGCCATACTTATCTGGTTAGTTATGCGTAAATCTATAATTTTTGCCCCTCACTAACCATACCTTTTATTTCAGGAAGATCTGACGAGACACCTCTGTGGACATGGGGAGCATCTTGCTCTGCCGAGTCCCCCATGTTCCCTGAGCCCGAGGTGCCTTTTGCTTCTGCATCGTCGTCGCCCACGAGTAGCTCGACATACTCGCACGATGATGGTTAGTTGATTCCATGGAGGTTCCTAACCGAGCTCATTATTTTACCCCTAGCTACTCCCTCGCCGCTTCAATTAAACGAGTTCTCAAATGTCTTCGACTTTGACTTCTCCTCATCCATGCCCAATGAATACTTCATCTCGGAACCGAAACCCTCCTCTCTACCAGCGTCGATATCGAGGCGAAGGTCGCCCCGTCCTCCTCGGAATGTCCATTCCCCTGATTCCCATAAGTCAAGAGAACCTTCCCCTGCGAATAGCGAGAGCGACGCGAAACGTCGATTCCCCTGTCTTGTGCTCGGTTGTGCCCGACGTTTTACTAGTCAGTACACGCTGAAGGTGCACATGGAAGCGCACAAACCAAAACCCCGTGTCTCCTTTCCCTGTACTCTCGGATGTGCGGAGAGATTCTCCCGACAACACGATCGACTCCGACACGAGGTTGCGAAACACGGGAAGGTCTGCGAGTTCCTTTGCGACGATTGCGGACGATTCTTTTCTTCTGGTAAAACTTTGGGCAATCACAAATGTCCCGTTGCTCAAGGAGGCACGCGCTGGGTCAATAGCTGCACTTAACATCGCCATCTCTCATCATCACGCTTTGCATCTACATTAACATACATAACTTGGGATAACTGGTACTTGACGACGGACAAGATTCTTTTTCGCATATACATACACGCTTATGGACATGTACATACAAAGTAAGTAGTAAGGGGAGGGGTAACAGGGTCTTGATGTACATTACGGTTGTGCCCAATGGACACGGTGATCATCTAGTCGTCTTTGGCAAGCCACAAGCCGCTGAGGGCATTCCCGCAGCGTCGTAAGTGGAAGTATATAATCCTTGATGATTTGAAGGGTAGAGTGATCTGGTGTCCTTAATTCAATCGCGGAACTTCGTAACAGACACCGATGGTGAAGTGGTTATCATGCTTGCCTTCCATTTGTCAGGTAGCAAGCGGCACGGGTTCGATTCCCGTTCGGTGTATAAATTTTAGCCCACTTTTTACCTTCTTTTCTTCTTTTAAGTTCTTACCTCCACGGACTACTCTCCAGAATTCAATTACATAGTCCGACTGTCCAGGACGGTAGCCTGTACTCAGTACTGTGTACCCGTTGAAGGCAGGTCGAACTCCCAATTACTTGCGAAAAAAACCAGGTACAGCTCGGTGAGTCTGTGACTTCTAACCTATTATAATTCAGGGCATGGAGTAGGTAAGATGACTTAGGTACAAAAAAACCTGATCCCTAGAGCGCTGGCAAAGACAGGCAAAAGACCGACAGTCGTGCCCAGGTTGTGTGCCTCATTTTTGTACCTGGCTCTAAAGCGCTTGTTTTTGGGCGCGGCGAGGAGATAGAGAGCGGCGAGAAGCAGCAATGGTCAGAAGCACAACGTTGGCAACATCCGTATCTCGGCCAAGGCTTGCCTCAAAAATTGACCAAACCGCTGTAGGTGAAATTGTTTGAGGGGTCCAACTTCGGTTTAACATTCAGAAAACGGGTATCAAGTCTCATGCACAATCGGACATATGAATAGCTGTACTCAATTTGCAGCTTTCGTAGGACTGTCAGCCTAGGGGACGGCGGCCATTTTGTCGACTATAGGCCCCGTTCCGTCTTCTGGTCTGAGCAACTTCCAGATTATGACGATATCAGAAGCCAGACTCTCATAACGACCTCAAGGCTCATCGAAGTACATACAAACATCACCAGATGTCTTGCCCACTCTTTCTTCCTGCTTCCTTTCACTGACCTTCAAGTCTGGGACTGTGTCCTTTCATGAATTTGCAGGTCGTTTTCTGCTCGTCGGTCCTCAGCGTTCCGGCAGTCTTTCTACACGATGTTCTTCCATTCTTTTGTTCTCCTTTCGCTCACGGCTTTGGATTTCTCGGGTGAGTGCTTACACCTCGAATTTCTATGTAATAATACGCTGACATCCACGATCATGCAGCTCCTGCGATCATCCAACGCGCTAACCCATGCTTCGTGACCGGAACCGTTCCTCTGTCTGTAGAAGTCGCTACCGGTCTCACCGCACTTGCACAGGATGTGATGTGCAACGCCGCTGTCAAGAATGCTAATAACCCAGGCTGACACCCTCCGCTGACCTTGCGAGTGGTCTGCAGGTTGAAGTTGCTCCGGGTGTACCAGAGGTCACTTCTGAAGGTATCTCTTTTCAGCACTATTGACTTCCAGAAGTCGAGCAGCTCGCCCCTTGCATTTGCTCTGTTCGTAGACTGTGACATCGCTCACACCTCTTCAATCTGGACTATCCATTGATTGCTCGCTGCAGCGCAACATTTCCAACACCCGCTAGTCCAGCAACGGCTGATTTAGGCAAACTTCAGAAGCAGTTGAATTTTATCTTGCTGTGGGTGTACGAGTACGCCTCGAGTGAAACTGTCTGCTATCTCCTTGACTCGTGATACTTGTACCAGTCATGGCCGAATTCAGCCGCACTTCTGGCTAAGCTGAAGGGAGCATAATTCTTTATTCAGTTCCAGATTTCCCGAGTCGATGAAGCAATTGGTGTGGCCATGGGTGCGGCGGACGCAGAGCAACTTAAAAGTAATTGAAGGTGTGTCAATGTAATGTCGAGGTATCATCTTATACCTTCGTTACTCAGAACGCAGTGCGTGCTTCTTCCAAGGAAGTGGCTCAACTCATTGCCTTGGCCACGGTCATTTGAAGACAACGAGTGCCTTTGACAATGAATTCATAGATCTTGGTTTAGATTGGTTTACCTTGGCAAGTCTAGGCAAACCTCGTTGGAAGATTCTCGCCGAGTGCCTGATCTGATGAGAATTTTGAGATATTTCATGTCTTGGCGGTGCCTTGCCCGCCAATTGTATATACGTTCCTGCAGAGTGAATTATTGCCGAAAATGTACTACTACCAGTGTGAGCATGGAGCATGACTGGACGGTTTGAGAAATCTACGCCAAGTCAGCGAGTCCACTCTGACCTTGACACCCATCACGGATACAGGCTCGACCGTCAGCTTATGATGGATCGACCGCGACGTACAACGCGCCAACCAGCAAGGCTAACTGACACTCTTACTTCCTCTCCTCCCGCGCCCACTGCAACTCGGTCCAAACGTAAGACCCAAGATGTGGATCCCGCAGATCAACTTCGTTATCTGCTCACAAACTCTAAGAGCGCCCTAACAAGCATGGACATCGCTGTACGTCTCTCAACTCCAGGCTCCACCAGCTGCGCCCGTTCCTACACATTTCTCAGGTCTCCGAGTCGCTCAACGCGTTTCGTATCACCAGGATCTCATCAACGCCGGCTCCTGGAACATGCTCTCGCCAGAATCCCAAGATATCCTCAAGACTCTGCTCCCACCTACTGCGTTCCTCGGCTTCAAGGCGGCCATTGACGCGGACCATCCCTCAGCCGTTGACTCCATGTCCGTCGACGAAACGACTGACTCAGCGTCCGGGGAGGTCGATGTATCGTTCTTTACGGATTCGCACTTCTTGGCTGCTGCACATACCCTTCAGGACCACATATACTCAGACTGGATGTCGGACGCCCATGCCGAGAAGGTGAAGAAGTACGAGGACGGGATTCGCGAGGGGACGCTATCGGCGGCTTGGAAGGACGAGGTCTGGGAACGCGATAACACCAGCGCCCGTGTCGGTCGCCCTCCACCGAATGGCGACAATGCGGCATCTTCGAACCATGTTGCGGAATCTGGAGCACGAGCGGGGTGCGTTCTGACCTGATTGACCCGCGAAACAGCCCTTCTGACGAGTGATGTCCATGTATACAGCGAGGCTGCCGAGGTCAAACTTATCGCACTCGCGAAAAGCGGCATCCTTCGTGTCGGGGATATTATTGCTCTGAAACGCAACTTTACGGGGCTTGATTTGACTATCGAGAAAGACGCTATCGTATGTTCCCCGTTACTCATTTGCCTCCCCGATCAGTCATCCCTTCACCATCCTCAGATCCAATCGATACACCCGAAGACACATGCCCTCACAGTCCTATTTGAACCCGGGACAACTCAACATCTTCCCGCGCACCTGATATCTCCAGAGCCCTCAGAGCCGTCCGCACCGACCCTAGTTGCGAATATCATTAAGCCCATGCAGCTGGAAACGGCGCTGCTCGACGAAGACAACCGAGTCGAGAAGTCACAGCGCCCGAACGGTAATGCCTGGAAGTGTATCACTGTGTGGAGATGGAGAGGGGAAGCCACCGAGGATACAGGTAATGGACGATGGGGCAGGGAGAATCACGGAACACTATTCTATCTGAGGAACACATATTACCATGAGCGATGAAGAGACTGCATTATGTATCATACCATGTGTATCATACTGTACCACCATCATATTATCTCTTGCGATATCCATGAGGATTCATACTCTTCAGCAAAGTGATCTACTTTCTGTACCAGCCAGCGACTTATAATACAAGGTTTAATTTGTGGATTCATAGGTGGATAGACCAAGACCAACAGCAGAAGATCACATCCCTCGTCCATACGGACCAGACCAGCCGTATTATTTCGCCTTTATCGTCCTGTCCTTGATCTTTTTGCCATCTTCGTCTCGACCAAGCAGGGGGTTTAAGAGTCCTTCAGCCTGCAGCCGTTCCACAAACGTCTTCAAGAATGGCTCATAGTCGAACGTCCGCTTGATGTGGTCCGTCTGTCCATTCACGTTGAGCCTATCTACAAAAATCAATGGAGAAAGGGATGCTCACATTCGCCCTGGCCGCCTTTATCAGCTCGTCTTCCACAGCAACATTCGCCCGTACCGCATTCTGCATGCAGGTCTCCCAGGCCGGGACCACTTCTTCCTCAGACATGTCGAGGATTTCCAGATCCCTAGACATTCTCCGAGACCCAAAGTCGGTAGCAAACGTCGTGTCACCCGGTGCTGCGCTGAACGCATGTTGAGAGGCCTTTAGCAACACTGGGTCCACCTATCCACGAGAGAACGGTAGTTAGACACGAGCCATGTGTGGTCAGAAATCGCAGACACACCTTGTTCTCCCATTCCGGCTCCATCCTCCTCTCAAGTGCATTCCTCTCTCGCTTAAGCATCTGCAGCTCGTCGTTCGCCTTCTCGTACAGCCCATCCACGATGGCAAGCAAGCTAAACCTGATATTGCTCCCTCCCTCCGCTGCCCCACCGTATTTCTCCATCTTCATCCGCAGGGCAGGCCGCACGACATCCATCCAACCACTACTCGTGGGCTTCCTAGGTGATGCCCTCGATGATGACGAACACATACTGGTCGGGGACAGCTCGCCGACCTCTAAGGGACCAGACTTCAGGCCGTCCAGCTCCCAGACTTTGCCGTAAGCGGGCACGTAGCCGATGAAGTGGTAGGCCTCCTCGGCATCATCTGCTTCAGGTCGCTCCTTCTCTTTGCCCTTCTTGGGCGAGGAGGCAGTGGCGGATTTGGCCGTTTTCGCGCGCTTGGCGGGAGGAGGCTTCGTGCCACGTTTCGTGTTGGTGGCTGGTTTCGGCTTGGCCTTGGCCTTGGCTTCGTCGAGGGTGGTGGTGGCAATAGCATTTAGGGCACCGCGGATGTCGGCGGGTCTGTGATGAGATCAGTATAGGCATGAATGGGTTGAAGAGTGATGACATACCGAGCAAGCGAATTGTGAGCTTCGCGAAGTGGAGGAGAATTTGTGACAGCAAGACCCTTCATCTGGACCAGGTGTGAGGCTTTGTAAACGGCGGAAATGACAGGAACGTACCACTGGTGACATTTCCTCCGTATCATGCTTAAATCTCCGTAGTTCATCTCCAATATCGACGTCAGGACAATTTAGAAGAACATTGAGGATGGCGTGAGAAGCACACGCGTCGTCGCTCAGTTGGTTTGCAAACCAGACGCGTTCGGCCGTGGGATCGTCAAATTCCGCAGGGCGGTGAGCATCCTTGCGCCAGAGAAAGCAGAAGATGAGTCCGCGTGGGTTGAGGTGGTCGACTGCCCAGGGCTCGATGTCATACATCTC